AAAAACTAAAAGAGGAACCTTCAGATGTTTTGATGCTTCGTTATAGCTCTGGTCTATTACCGGATGACAAACCGCGAGGTTTACTTAGAAGCTCATTCCCACTCATGACCTCTTCAACTGAGAATGGGCTCGACATTAACATCTTCCTCCCATCTTATTTTTATCGATTTTTCGTCAACAGTCTTCTAATTTTTTGAATGCCTAGGTAAGTGTGAGAAGAAAATCCTTGACAATCAAGGGACTTTCAAAAATGCCTTCAAAAGATTGGGAATGTGGTTTGCATTCGTCTATGATAGAACAAACAAACTTACATATAGTTAACAAGGAGTACAAAAAACATCCTTTTAAGATATTGAAAGTTTTCAATGCTTTCATGCATTTTCCGAGTACTTTCCATATTTGGTTCATAGTTGTGAACTCATTGCATAGCCAGTGTTCCATAGCAGGTGGCTCATTTTTTGCCTCGCAGATGGATTGTATTATGCTTGTAAGTTCTTCACAGGCTGATACCTACAGAATGGCCGGGAGTTTGTCACGGGCATAGCAGTGCCGTTTTGCCTTCAGACACTTACAGGTGGCGAACATCCTTCTTCATCACTATGTTATCCCGCTTGATGCTATCCACACTCATTCTCTGAATTACATAGACTAGAATAACTCTTTCCATGTTTCACACTCTTTCATCCTTGATATATTAAAGCTACCGTCAATCGTCATGTAATCACTACGCGCTATCTATAAGTACTGTACAACGATCACTATTGCCACAACTCATCTAGTTATCATTCCACTGTGCCAGAATCAGTCGACATCAATTGATGTAATTGTGTCATGTGTGAGTTATCCTGTTTAATACTTTGTCATTCCGCAAACATCTTTCTCTCATTGCTAGTGTAACTACTTCGAACATCCTTCGTAGCGACAGCGTTAACCATTACGCTGTTTGTACATGTGTTTACCTCATCGCACTGTAACTAATAAGTTAAGGCCAATACAAGCACAGATGTGCCTTCTACAATATTAACCCCTTTGTACGATTACTGTTGTAATCTATGTGACACTTTCCCATCATATCACTCCATCAGTTTATGACAGTGCTGCTCTCCTCTCTCAAGGGTAACCTCTCACTAATCGTTTTACCTTAGCTTATTTATCGTAGTATTGTTCCTTCGCTTGTGTAATTTTGGTAATTTCATATGGCTATTACTATTTTATCACCGCTATAAACGGTTTAACCACCTAAGTTTGATGTCTGGCTCTGTGACGTCCCGCGTGCCAAACTGGTACAAAGGCGAGCAGTTCATTTCGAGCTGGCGCCTCTGAGAACTCGAAGAACTGAATCTTATGTTCAATAACCGTCACTACACGCTCGGAATCCTTGCTAAGGCTAAACCAGTAGCAAGAATAGCCGTTATCTTAGCGAAATTCTCGCCGCGAGATAGCATAACAGCGATAGAGAAAAACTTACCTAACCAGCAATAATTATTGAACTAAAAGATGTGCTAACATATTTGCGATTCATGAAACGTTTGCCAACTATGTAGTCAAATATTACGTATCTCTCTCAGTCAAAACTGGCGTCGCATTCGGATAATGTTTGATAAGCAGTAAATTGATCTAGTTGTATCTCCAATCGTCAGTAACATGGTAAAATTAGGTTAATATATTATTTTTGAAACAAATGGCACTATCTTGATCCTATCTTGAGCGTACTCCCGACTCAGTTAAACATTTAAGCGGTAAAATCTCAACTGCGACTAGTCCAAATCAAAAGAGTTTACATATTTCTTCAATTACTCGTTATTTAAAGAACAAACACGTTTAAAAAAGTGTAGAAGTCTCCCTCTCTATCTCGATGTTGATCAGTTCCCGGGGTTGCGTCATGCATTCGACTTCACTAAGGATCGTTGGAGATGAGTGAATGCATATCTGGCTTTTACAATGACTCACGGTGGCCTACAGTTGTATCGAGTCAGTGCAGCTATCCTCCCAGACAAGTCTGGTAGCAATTGAAAAAGTGTATCAGCAAAAACCCAGGGTGAGTGTCGTGTCTAAGGCGTCCATAAATAGTTAAGCTTAACTTCCACCGTTGTTAGATCGCAATTATGCCTTTAGTTAACAAGACTTTGATATATAAAAAAATTTTTCCTATCTTATTGATTTAAATAAACAACGATATCCGTTCATATTTTTGAGTTCTGTTGTCATCGTTGGTAATCGTTTGTGTTTCGAACCTCAGCTCTTAGTTACTTACAGCTCCCAGCCATTTTTTAAAAAAATATGACGTCATACCACTTTGAAGTATCGGTGGTGATTCCTATGCTAAGAGAAATACAATAACAACAAATCAGCGTCATTTCGCATGTGAGTACTATGGACAGGTTTTCATAGTCCAAGTGCGAGTAGTTTTCGAAGTCAGAGATCGAACCGTTGAAGCAAATTGTTGTCGTGCGTGAACAACACTTAGAATCACAAAGGTTTTAATTCACATCGCTAGACCTAAGTAGTCATGTGAAAACTCCCTATCATATATTTTTAGTTTGTCTACGTACACTCACTTGTCGAAAATTCTTTCTAATGCTTCCAAAGCCAAGTAATCATTTTTTTATCCTCCTGTCTTCACTGAGCTAAGGAGACCAACATTGTGAAATTGGATAAATTTTTAGTCCAGTTTGAAACATAAGTGTATGCCGAATTTTGCTCAAATTTCTTCTTCCTTTACGTTTCCGAATCGATTTGTGCCTCGTTGGAGCACGTTGCAGGTTATCCCTGAAACATTGTAGAAAATGGAATGGGGAATAGCCGAAGTAACGTGAATCGAAATGAGCAGCCGACAAGTATAAGCCAGTATGTTTTACGAATACATCCTTGGCACTGGGCTGCCAAAATCCTCCAAAAATATCAACTAGTTGTTTGGTATCGGTGAAAGCGACACGATCTCCTCCATTTTGGACGACCAGTCACATGAGACGAAAAAGCTTTGTATGGTGCTCTTGAACTTAATTAACCTGTAGTAAATCCATTTCGGCGGCCGATGCCCACGAAAAATTGGAAAAAATTCTTTTTCTACTGTAACTGTCTACCACTGATCCATGCGAGTAAGCACGTGCAAATCCCGGTCGCTTTTTCAGCTCAAAGAAAACTCTCTGAAGCAAATCGTCACTTGAGATGATATCTGTGAAAACAATATGTGCTACTAGGTGCTACTTCATTATTTGTTCCGGTAAAGTTGATTCTTCGGCAGTCTCGCGTCAGATATTATTCCAAATGCTTCAATAACACAGACAGAAAATGAAAATCAAAGTGGTAATCATACGATCAACACCTCAAAAAACCCGTCGATTTTTATTTGACTTCCACTGAAGAAGGACAGCTGCTTTGAATCGCATGTGGTTGATGACTGCACCACTCAACGTCAAAAGTCTATTCAAAGATACGGTGGGAGCTCACGTGTGATCTCTGGGCATTTTTACTGCTGTTCATTTTAGGATTCTTGGCATTTGTACAGGAAGCCTCAAAAAGCTTTCACGCTGGAGTTTTGGCATTGTGTGCGAGGATGGTGACTTTATAACAACATCGTCTCCGCTGTTCTCTTGTACCCTATGTGTCCCAAGTGGATTACCTTGTCTTGTTTTTCGTTTGTCATCTAGAAGTTTTCTTTATAGGGACACATAATGGTCTGCCAGTTTCGTCAATGTATTCTCTGCAAGTATTACAAGAGATGTATATCGTATCTAAACTCAAGCAGCCACCGTCGTTGCCATAAGGGCAAATTTAGGAATTTTATGTTTCACATAGGTAGATGTTCAACCTTATAGGCGGTTACGAACTAATTGACGATGAAGTTTACCCGCTACTATTTCTACTATCGCGTTTTGTTTCGACGAAACCTATGGTTTTGGGACGTCGTTCTTATTCTCAACTTATCTCGTGGTGTTTCTATTTCGTAGCTATTCGAAATGGATTTTTGCTGAGCCAAGTCATTCGGTTCCTTCTGTTGTTTCTTATTGGCGCACAGACATGGTCGTTTGAAGCATGTTTCTCACAAGCGCAATGATTGTCTGTGAAGGCTGGGAAGGGAGAACATGAACAAGGATATTTTTCTCATTCTGTTTTTGGTACGAATTTGTCACGTAACCGCCATCAGATGAGCTGAATTGAACGTAAATAAATGGAAGCCAGCTTTCTTTCGGTTCCACCCGGGTGAATTTAATGTGCTTAGACTAGTCATTCATTAATGCAGAGAATTTGTTCATTTCCTTTTGTTTAGAGACGATGACAAAACAATCATCTATATATCTATAGTAGAGCAGCGAACGAAGATCGAAACTCAACAAGAATATAGCGAATTTGCCCAACAAGAATATAAAGAATTATTTGATCAATTCGAGGTTAATAAAGAGTCGATCGTCGGAGTACATGCTACCCTCGTGGTTGCTCAGTGGTAGGGACCCAATCAGGTCCACCGAGTCCCCTTCCATGGTATAGCAAGACTTCACTGCTTTGTTGCAGCAAATGGTAATTCTATATCTATTGGAGTCCAACTAGATGGTCAACGTCAGCGAGTTCACAAAGCAGCTTCTTCGAAGCATACGTACACGACTAGAAACTACGACCATCTCAAAACCCGCATTGGTAACCTTTTCGAGTTGGAACTTCCTCTAAGCAAAACAGTGTTTTGAGTGGATAAAATGAGGTGCGAAAACATGGTCAACATCGACAAAATCTTGTTTTACATCGCTGTGGAATTATTCGTGATGGAACGTCCCACACAAAAATTCCCGCTTCCAATTACCTTGCCGCAAGTACTGACTTCCAAAGGACTGCTGGTCTGCAAAAAACGTTTATAAGAGTCTGTACGAAAACCTTATTATTGTATGTCACATTCTTCATTTCTGAATAGTTTTGAACAACTATGATATCGAACGTTGTAATCTTTTCTTCCTCTTAAACTTTTTGCCTATATATAGAACCTCTGTGTTCTAGAAAATTTCAGGCTAATGAACGCTGAGTTCTCCTTTTCGCTCTTCTTCGGCGCAATATTCTTGGTAGCCGGACAATATGGCTTCTACGAACATCCATATGGTGGATACGGTTTTCACGAACCACACTTCGGCGGATATGGACCCTTCTATGGACATGGACCCTACGGCGGACATGGACCTTACGGTGGATATGGTGGACCATTCTACGGTAACCAGCAATTACGCCATCCCGTAGAAGGTGCTATTCGCGGAGCTATTACTGGAGCTCTACTTGGTGGTCTCTCTGGCCGATAAATAATCGTTACGTTATATACTTATATAGAAACAAATTTTTACTTCAGTTGCTTAATGTTTGTAACATATGTATGCACAATAATATTACTTAGAGATTTCGTTGACTAATTACCACCTGTAAATAAATTTATTGACAGAATAATAAAAATGACAGAATAACAAAATGACAAAGAGAATATTGAACGACAGAATATTGACAGAATAATAATAATAATAATCGTAGTGATGTCCGTCATCATGAGCATGGTGCTAGTTCGATTGCGCTCCGGGTCCACCAGGCTTCTCATCCCTTCGGGGTCAGGAAATTTGTACCGGACTTGCCTGGGAAGAAAAATCACTTTCTGTAATCCAATTCAGAACGCTCCAGCCCGGCTATCTCAGGAATCCAGGGAGAATTGCTCGACCAGCATTCTACGACATTCAGGATGAAATGGAAATCCTCGAGCAGCTACCGAATCCACACGTAAAAAGTTGGAAGATCTTCGTGGACAATGGATGCGAGGAAACGAATCGAATGTGAGAAGTGGTGGGATCCGCACAGCAGACATGAAGACGGATCAAATAATTGTTAAAAGCTTAAAAAATTAGTTATGTACCCACTGAAAAATATTACATCATTTCCTGATTCTTTAGAAGGTCCTCGTAGGAAGCTTCTGAACAAAGTGAAATATTTGGCATTAAGGCAGTATCTTCCATCGAGAACGATGGGATGAAAAACTCACATAGAGCAACATGAGAAAGATAAGGCTTTCGGCGTTGTTAAATCCCTGGCGGTTACACCATGGATTTAACTTGAATAAGCATCGCTAGAGGTGATTGGATGCATATCTGGCTTGCAGAACGACTCGCAGTTGCCTGCCGATGCATCAAGTCAATGCTACTATGCTCTCTGGTACCAATTTACCGACCCAGGAAGGTTTGATGAGCCTAGGGCATGGGATCGAACCCGTGTGTATTGCAAGGCGCCTCCTAGCACTGTGCTACACGCGCCCTAATACAACATAACATGGGAATAATATTCAACAGCATGGCTAATAGGTTATGAATGAATTTGGGACTGCAGATTATCATATGCAAACGCTTTTGTTAAAGAAGTAAGCAACGATATTCAGTTGTTAGTATATATTTATATGGAACGCTAAAACGAGTTAATGGAAGAAAAAGCTTTCGTTATTCTATCACACCAATTTCAATCCTCCCAAACTTTTGGCTAAAGAGAGCGACCAATTAAAAATTGATTTATCATTTGTTCCGGATGAACTTTTGTTGCAATTAGTGCAATGACATTGATTGAATCATTGAGCTATTATTGCTGCAACAACAGCCGTAAAGTAAATGTGGTGAGCACGGTTCTTGAAGTTTACATCGGTAATATGATTCTAGTAGATTTCGCAGTGGTCTGCTTCTCAGCGCCGACCCCAAAGCTGACTTCATCGTATCTCATAATCCTGCAGCTTAGTTGTATAGTCTCGATTGGTAATTGCTAGCAATAACTTCCTTAAACAATTTCCGAAAAAAGAGAAAGGGATAAGAGGTTCGGCGAAGACCAATCCCCTAAAGATGTGCTACGCATTCGACTCCACTAAGTATTGTTGAGCTGAAGGAGTGGATATGTGGTCTATAGAATGAAATCCACGTGCCTATCGATTTGTCCGATTAGCTTTTATGTCCCCTAAAGCAAGTGTGGTACAATATTTTGGAGGCAGAGGGAGCTTGGTTAACTTGGAACGCTGGATGAAACCAACTACCGCGAGCACAGTGCACCAATTGCACTCATTGACCTATGTACATTCGTCTTTTGATACAACATACGAATTTCTGTGCCACCAAATTACGTATGAGAGGACTAAAATACTTGTTATATCTAATCGCTTAGTGATTTTTGGTCACCAGTCACTGGGTTTAAGCTGAATAAAAGTGAGAAAAGAAAATTTTTGACGGTAACGCAGAGCACGAGAACTGCAGTAATGCCTTGTTACGAACCATGGGTCATAACGGACTTTTAAACGCGACTTTTAAAGCAGCTCTTGAAATACCGTTACAACCGCTCCGCTTTTTATATGGAAAGCGTCTCCCGTCGTAATGACGAAAAGAGTCGACTATCAATCTCATTTGCAAGGTCATCTGTCGCACAAACAAAAACAAACGATGTTATCAGTAATGAAGAGAACGACCACAGTAAATCAAAATTTGGCAGATTGAAAACAAAACACTCGGAGCTGGGCAACTCACAGCAGTAGTTCTTCACCACCAGTTGAATATACTGTTCGCAAGTGTATTTTATGGATTTTCTCCTCCTCATTCATTCCAATAAGTTCAAGTTAAGGACAGTACATCAATGCCTTCGAGGAAGTGCAGTACAACTCGTGGACGCTGGCGACATAGAAGCGGTGCGAAATACCAGTACCTTAGCATTCGTTTTTATAGAGTAACAGCACATCACAGCGTCCTATCGATGGACTTGAATTAAAAACAAGTTGTATGATTGAGCTCCATTCCTCCATGCTGGAAAACTGCTAGTGAATTTATGATGAAGGATATAAAATCCAGTTTTTTTGCTTGAAACGAAAACATCGGAAAGCAGACGCCACTGGTGGCTAGTTGTTCCCCAGCGGAATATTTTCCAACTATTTCTTACTTTTTCGGGATGTATTAGATTTTAAGGAACAAACATAGAGCACAATGGTAACGTGATAGCAATTCACAAGTAAAAGAAAGCCTGCGAATAGTTCGTTAACAAAAACGAATTCAAGAAATTATCAGTCTGAAATATGCAAGCATTTTTAATGTTCTATGGAAAATTTGATAAATGTCATTCCTAACGGCACAACCTTCTCAAGACGCTGGGCTTGTTGATGAAGTCGGAAGGTGGATCACGGCTGAGATAATTCATGGAGAGTGACGAGGCTACAAATTCCCGATGATAAGAATCATTCCAAAGCTGAATTCAAAGCCATTAAATTTTCTTTAAACCCAATTAACTTCCCAAACTCTTTTGTGGGTTCAATTGTTCCTTTACGCGACAACGTACTCTACAGGAGTTGTACGTGGAGGAGAGCGTATTATAGTCAGTATAGCCTCCGTGCGGGTCACATTTTTCTCTCTTTTATTTTGCCGTGAAGAACTATTTCCCTAAACTTTCTGCAATGAATCGACACTTTACCCAAAACAAATCAGACGCGGCCATCGTCCAGGGAAAGCTATTCTTTACACTTACCAATTTAATAAAGCATAGAGTAAATAAAAGGATAAAAAAGAACAGAGCTCTCAGCGTTAATCAATCCCTGAGGTATGCGCCACGCATTCGACTTCATTATGTATGTTCTGGAGGTGATTGAAGCCATATCTGGCCTTTACAAAGACTCGCAGTGGCTTACCGATGTATCGAGTCAGTGCTGCTATCCTCCCAGACAAGTCTGGTGCCAATTTGCCCACCCCGGAGGAATGGAAGGCTTGGTGGGCCATGGGCGCATCAATCGATTCCACGTGTGCGTTGCAGGGCGCCCCCGACCACTGCGCCACACGCTCACGTCGCTGTTGTTGCTATAAATACTCAGCGATAACGATAAGATGGTGAATCACGAAAAAAAACATGTGTATATGTAATTCTATTGTACGTTCATACCCAATGTCAGTGAAACTGAAGGTGTGAAAGTGAAAGTGAAGTTAGCATTGTGATTTCAACCACAGCCCCAATTTAACTGGGTTCAATGCCGATATGAGCTCCCAGATCAATCTCGTTGACGGGTGAATGCTACTAGCACTGATCGATAGAACTAGTTGAGAGACAGGCGAAACGTAGCACCCGCATGATGTGGTGGTGAACGCATTGGCCCCCAGAAAGGGTAATGCTCACTGCTTTGTTGATGAACAAACGCGCGATTCTTATCACAGCGTTTATTAATTCGTGACAGTTGACGTTTCAGCGGTTTCGCCTTCTTCAGACCCTGCTGAGGTTATGCAACTGTTTGTGCGAACGGATTGAATGTCAATTTGACCTTTCCAGGCTCTGAAGTAGGCGAAACTGCCGGAACATCAACCAATATTCCATGAATCTTGTTGTTAACAACCTTGTGTCTGTTTCATTAGAAAACATTAATTTGGCGAACAATGCCGAGAATACAAGAAACCCGTTCTTACGCATTCTGGCCAAAAATGGTCAACTAGTGGCAAAACGACGTAATTGCGTACTTCGCGTACAGGCAGTGCAGTCAAGGCGCGAAAATCGAATTTCAAATGCCTTGCAGCGCCGGTTTATCCTGTACTTGGTGTTGTTGCTTCTTCCATTAATCTCATTGTTATACTTGTTAGAATTCTTGGTTATAAAAATGTAGCTAGGATTTGAATACTTGAATCTTCTCCCCTATTTAAGTGGAATTTAGAGTTGACGATGAGTGATCCAAAAATCGATGAACTCCGACTCCCAGTGGCTGTTCTGGGCCGTGTTATGAAGTCCTGTTTGCCTGATGGTGCAGCTATATCGAAGGTTTTTTTAATCTTTCTTTTTTCTTTGTCAAATTTTTTTTTCAATGGAATAGTCTATGCGTATTCTTTCTTGATAAGCTTGCACGAGGTTGATAAATATATTTATTTTCGGCTAACGTTTCGACGTCTTCGTCTTCCTCAGAGCCGGTGATCCGAGTCGATGGTCCATGCTTGTTGTTCGCCTCGACGTTGCGTCTTCGCCTTCCTGTCGAGCCAGATCTTCCTCAGCGAGCCATCTTCTCGAATCTTTTTCGATTTCGAGAAGATGGCTCGCTGAGGAAGATCTGGCTCGACAGGAAGGCGAAGACGCAACGTCGAGGCGAACAACAAGCATGGACCATCGACTCGGATCACCGGCTCTGAGGAAGACGAAGACGTCGAAACGTTAGCCGAAAATAAATATATTTATCAACCTCGTGCAAGCTTATCAAGAAAGAATACGTATTGATTAGTCACACCGAGGTTTAGGGAAGGTCGGTTTCGGAATAGTCTATGATCAATGATGTTTAGGATGC